CAAAATTTAAGAAATAGCTAAAAATATTTATTCTAGTTTATTTTTTTCAAAAAAGTGTTATAAAAATCCAAAACCTTGACTTTGATTAGCTCTCACAAAGTCACATCATATCCAATCTAAAAATTTCTAATATCTTTGTTACCCCCTTTAAGTCTCTTTTTAAAATGTTACTTTTTAATTTCTAAAAGAACCTTATTTTTCTTAAAAATACTTGTATTTTGTAACTCAAGGTCTAATTTTGACTCTATCTTACAAATGGTCCTTCTCGGATATAAATCTAAGTTTTTTTTTTGGATTTTTTCCAAAACATTATTAATAAATATAATTCAAATGTGATATCATTTGTTTTATGTCCATTTTATCTTATCTTATTTATGGATCTGTAAAAAAAAATTTAAGTCTTTTTTATAAAAAGATCATCATAGAGTATTTAATTTTTTATTACTTCCAATATATTAGGTATGATTTTATCCTTTCAAGTCTTCATAAATCATTTTATGTCTTTATTATAATACATCCTAAGAAAAATATTCTATATACATTTTTAGTTGCAAAGATCTACTATATATTTACCAATTCTATTAAAGCTAAGTTTTATCTCATCTAATCACTAAAAAAACATTACATAGCCTTGAGATTAAACCAAAATGTGGCTATATGATTGTTAAAATATAATGTAAAAGCATTAAAAAGGTTATTATTGATGCTGGAATGTAAAAAACACTCAAATCAAGAAGAATCTCTATGGTATCTTACACATTATGTACTCATTATTGAATTTATTTAGAACCTAAATATTATAATTTTACAAATCAAAAAATATTTCTAGATATGTTTCTTTTATATTAAAATCTATAAAATGTCTCAAACAATAATAAGTGGTTGCAAGCAATTGCATATGCAAAACCAAAGAAGTTATTGTTCTTATTACATAGTAAAGCACTTTTTATTTAAAGACAATTACTACCATAAGCATAACAAGATTCAATGCAATATGCTTGTTATTTTTTTAGTGTAGAAAGTGAAGAATAAGAAATTAAAAAAAAATGCATAATAGAAAAATTATTTCATAAAATCTATTAATTTTTCAAAATAGATGGTAATTATATTTATTCAAAAAAAGTTTGATTATGAGCAAGAATTTCAAAAGTGATTGGTAATTTTATAATCTAGATCATAATTTCATATTATCTCTATTTTTTCATATTTGAGTATGATTTTTTACAAATTTGATGATTAATAAAAAAAAATAAAAAAAATAAAAAATAAAAAATAAAAAATATTTTATTTTAGAACTGCTAACAAAGTTTTATGTTATAAACATTTTTTGTGTATCTTTGGATGTGGTTAGATTTTGTAATTATATATATATATATATATATATATATATACATAGAAAATTTAAAATTTGAAATAATTTAAAGTATTAATATTTATATTTTATAAAAATAAAAATTATTATAATTTATAATTAAGAGAATTATCAAATATTTATTTTGATAATGTAATATTATTTTAAATTAAAATTTCATTATTTTTTACTATTTTAATTATTTTATTTATAAATTATTAGTAGTTTTTTATTATTAGAATTCATTCAAATATATATTTTTTAAATTTAATAAATATTATAATTTACTAACTTGTAAGTTGTAACAAATATGCATAATGATTATCTAAGTAATAAGCATGATATCAATGTCAAGTTTTGTACTTTTTTTACTATGTAATTTATAAGATTTATTTATTATTTTTTATTATTATCTTGTACGGTTTTATGTGACTGGTTTAATTTGAGAAAATTTTATAAAATTTATAAAATACATTATTTCTTGATTACAACTAAAATTTAGTTAGAATATTTATTAATAGATATGATCTAGCAAAGATTTGAGCTTAGAAGTGTATAAACAAAGAAAATTAAAAAAATAAAAAACAGCCTAAATATAACTATGCACATCTTGTGAAATTAGATTAATATTATTAAAAGCTGATAATGTATTAATTGATGTTTAAAAAAATAAACATTTTATATAATATAAAAAAATTATTTCTATTAAAATGTTTTAAATTCTAGTTGTCACTTTAGAATTAAATTTATCTTTGGAAAGTCATAGGAATTTTAAAATGATTAAATAAAGGTTACTTTTAATATTATGCATTTTTCTTTTTAACAAGTTTAGAGTATTGATAATGCCAACACAATTTTTTCCATTACCACCACCATCTACCACATGCCACCAACATTCTTTGTTGATACTAAATAAAAAGTGATATTTAATTTTTTTATTTAGATATATGTATATCAAATAAATAAGTAAAAATATATTTAATATATTTAATCAATAGAAATAAACATAAATTTTTAAATTTAAATATATTTTATTATTTTAAAATACAAACTTATAATTTATAAGAGTTATGTTGTGCTTTTATAAGTAAAATACATCATTTTTTATTTCAAAAAAATAAAAATTATTATAAAAATTTACATAACTTAAAACTTGTGAGTTAATTCAACAAAATGTATAAGCAATTCCATATTGCAAATGAAAAACCAATTATTAGTCAATAAAGCTCGACAAATATTTGTATTGTATTAAAAAAGAATCTTATTTCTAATTACTCTAAATTCTCTTTATATATATATATATATATATATATATAAATCTATGTTTGAAATAAAATATAGATGATAAATATAATAATGTGATAGTTTCAAAGGTTTGTAATTTTAAATTTAAATATATATATATATATATATATATATACACTTGGAGAATCTTTAAACTACATTAAATTAGTTTCTTTAAAATATAGACGTGTAGACCAAATAAATACATGATTGATTGATACCCCAGACAGGAAAATCAATGGTAGATAGTTATTGAGGACAATTTGATGTCTTTAAGAAGATCAGTTTTTAAAGCATTATCACAATCATCTTGTTGGTTCTCTTATCTAAAACATCGTTTTGAGCATAACAAGGTGTAGATATATGATGACACAACATGAAACGCCTATCCATAATTTCTAGTATACAAAATCACCGCCTCAATTGCTCATAATGCAACAAAAATGCAACGTAGCACTAATTTCCCAAACAACTTGTTGCAAGAACTATCAATATTCTTTCACCAAAGAGTGAATTTCATTCAACTGAAGTGATACAGAGCTGCAAAGATGGGTTGGGTTGTTTTCCTACTTTTAATATGTAAGTACAGATTATTATTGTTTATCCCGGTAGTTAACTGGGTTTTGCGAGATAAGAGTTTCTTATTACACTAACCTGTTTCTCTGTCCGTAACACTGAGCTCTTGTTGGTTTTATCTAGTTACTGTGTCATGTTTTCAAATCATGTTCAGTTCATGTTAGTGAATCAGAGTGTTCAGGAGTATTAGTGCAGTTTGTGGTTTGAACACTTGCCACCCATTTGAACAACGTCGGATACCTGTCTATCTTAGAATTGTGATGAATAGCGACAAACACCATGACAAACCGCGATGCCATAATTGACAATGTGGGTGTTGCAAAATAACGTGTCTCTCTGGATACAGAATTATTCTACATATGGTGTCAAAACTTGAATGCTAAAAAAAAGCTTGTCAGGGCAGTACTCAAGGGTTCTTTAGTTTCTTTGACAGGATTCAAGTATGATGCACTTTCCTCAGGATAATTGCTGGAGACGCACCTGCAATGACAACACGCTACATTTCACTCCTGTGGAACAACAGATCCGAATATATATGTGGTGAACGAGTCACTGAACCTTGCTCACAAGAAATTTGTGGCCTCCAAACCTATCGTTCATACCACTTTCAACAGCAACACCAACTGTGTTCATCATTATTGGTCCTGGTTTGGCTGCATACAAATGCTTCCGAACATTTCAACCAGATTTGTGATCCTTTCGGGCATTTCACTCAATCACCGAAGATCAGTATTTAGTGGATACATCATGTATGTTCCTTGTTCGAAATTATGACTGGCTCCTCCCCGGAATGAAAAATTGACATAACAGGGTTTTGAATGTTTTGAACTTCACTTGAGATTGTGGAGTCAATACTGCACAATGAGATCTTTCTAGTTTTCGTTGGACCCTCGATTTGGCAACCTTTGACGTAATTTGCACCACCAGAACAGCTCTTTTAGCTGCCGGTCACAACAAGAGCAATTTATTACCAGCTTTACCAGGATCACTAACAGTCCTCTACCTACCGGGAGGTCACTCCGGACTGAGAAAACCATCGTGCAATCATCGGCATGATGAAAGGGTTCACAAAACAGATAAACAATGTTTTCAAGCTTTTGTACAGTGAACTATGCAAGAACTAATATGCACATAACTCCTGTTCATGGCAACAGACGAAGGGAAAATGGAGAAAATACTCAACACCTGCATGTCCACCCCAGCATTGCAGTCTATTCCCATTTGGAGTTTTCGGCTACAGCCATTGGATATTAATGAACAGACTATCACATGTGAAGACAATATCTATCTACCTCGGTTAAATCAATAGCAACACCACGGTAGTTCGTGGAAGGGACTTTCGCAACCCCTCAAGCATGTGTGTGTGTGTACATATATAAATATATATGACAATATAGGATCCACATCCCAAAAAAACACACGAAGACCAGGTTTTCACCAAATCAATCAGATCTTCCACAAATTCAGGACATGCAACTGAATTTTGCTAACAAAAACGACATTGAAACTTTCGGCTCCAAGTGACTGAAAAGAGGAGCAACGATTTTGTGTTTATGATCACTTTTTATTTTTCTCTTTGTCAGACTTATGATTCTTGGAAACTATAGCCTTGATTGTACTTATTTTGTACAAAGCTATGTACCATAATTAATTTGAATCTGATGTTTGAGATCCAAGTTTTTCTTCCTCTCGTTTTTGTGTCATTTGAATTAGTTTCATGATTTTTTTAAATAGTATACATCATTACTTGGTCTTTGAAGTAGCTACTTCAAAAAGAAGGTGACAATAGTATACATCATTTCTTGGTCTTTTTTCTCATCAAGTCTTAATCCAAGACTTGCTGATAAACTGTTAACATTCACTCTGTGTTGTATTTTTCATAGCTTTTATATTCCAATAAAATGAATAAATAAAACTCAGAGGATTCCTTGAACCAAACTCGATTCTTTCCCTGCTCTATTTTCTGCTAACCATATCCGAACACTTAACATTGCATAACAGACAACGTTGTATAGATATATACAACTTCTCACGTTTGTGAAAATATTTGAAGAAAAGCAGGAAGAGCATGATTTGATCACTACCAGACCTTTCGTAGTCATGAAATGAAGAGATTGCATGTAAGGCTTAGAGCTCCTGTGCACAACCTGTACAAGACCCTGCACTTGAGAATGTCATGTTCATCCGCTTGGATTCAACGTCAACAGCCCTGGTCGCTGCTGCAGAACAAGACCTGTCTATAAGCCGTGTGCTACTTGGGTTTGGTGAAGCCTCAATGTGAAGCTTACATCTACACATCCTGCGAGTTATCGGTACCGATTTCCCCCCGAACGTAACCATCTCTCCACCATTTTGAAGTGGAAATCCAAATCAACCCTCGCACTGAGAAGTTGGTGAATCAACTGAGTCCATACACATCAAGACAATTCGATGCACAACATAAGTGCATACGTAAATGTTTGTCCTTATGCAGCCTGCAGCATGTGTTGACTTCATCGATTTCTGCAGAAGAGAGCATTTTCTGCAGCAAGGGTGCGTTAACAGAGCAAGCAGTCAAGTCACCGACTCCCCAAAGCTCAGCTATTCAAATAGTTCACAGCCGTATAGCCCTTCGGATGCGCTTTCCGCCACTTCCAAGCCACTCTTAGCGTCTTTGTCAAGTCCGTATGACGGGCAGTCCAATTGAGCTCATTCTTGATTTTAGTTGGGTCACTGTAAACCTCGGCATAATCACCCGGTCGTCGATCCATGTATTTAACAGTTACATTCACACCCGTTGCTGCTTTACATGCTTCAACGAACTGCTTGACACTAACACCTGTGAAATAAAAACGCAACCGGTAGCGTCGGTTTTATTGATCTAATGAACAATTATGAGAAACAAACCCACCCTTTAATTAGGAGCAAAGAGCTCACCTTTACCAGTAGCTACATTGTAGATACCCGGTTTGCCAGGCTTCGCAGCGTTCAGGGCCTTCACGTGAGCATCTACGAGATCTGTCACATGAATATAATCTCGTACGCATGTTCCATCCTCGGTATTGTAATCCGTCCCTTGGACCTGAAAACAGCATGTCACAATGGTCAGTGTAAACGCAACAGACCATACTGAAATATTGTCGCACCCAAGCAGGAACTCAGACATGAGTGAACTAACGGAACCCTGGGAGCTGAAGAGTTAAATCATGAGAGTAAGAACAGCTTAAACCTTCAATTCTGGAATGACACCCATTGCTGCATCAAAGCAAGCCCCTGAAATTCGTCCATGTGCTCGAAGTTCCGGTCGCGGAGCCTCTCCTAGACGTCCTTTGGAATCAGACCCAATAACATTAAAGTACCTGGCTCACCCAAACGTGGTTGATGTAACAAAAAGCCAGAACTTCATGTACGTAAAAGCAACGAAGTCCATCGATCGTCCATTGATCTTAGCCTTAATTGAAATACACAATCCTGAGAAGCTTTACAGCTCACAAGTACAAAGAAACCTGAAAGTCGAGCAACGAATTCTTGGGACATATAAACAAGGACAAACCTCAATATCATCACCGCTAACTGGTCGTTGCTCTTAACATAGTCCAAAATTATGTCCTCTGCCATCTTCTTTGCTTTCCCATATGGATTTATTGGAACCTGTAAAGAAGTGCACGAGATTAGAATTGTTTCCGAGAACTACACATCAGCAAAACAGAGCTAAGTGTAAAACAATTTTTACCTGTGGTGTGCTTTCCTTTATGGGCATAACATCCGGTTCTCCATAAGTTGCACAGGTGCTTGAGTAAATGAGTTTGTGAACACGATGCCTCACCATGGCCTCTACCAACCCTAGAGTATTTGAAGTAATATTATGGTAATACCTGCAACAAATGAAACGATCTATACGTCAGTTACTCTCTGGACATAACTCTACTTTGCAATTCACCATCATGCTCGTCACAGGTAGTTTTGAGGCTCAGAGCTATTACAACTTACAAATCACCTGTATACACTTCCAAGGTAATTTGTAAAGGAGATCAATCAATACCAAACGAAGGCTATGTAAGAAGAGTGAATTTCACCTAAGCGGTTCTGCCGTACTTTCTCCAACATAAGCCACAGCTGCAAAATGCATGACCACATCTATTGCATTTTTGCTGAAAACCTCATTTATCTGCAATTGCTAATTAAGGAAAAACACTCGAGACTGGATTACGAAGAACAAGCAGGTCTGGAAATCATGCCAAAAACATAATTGTTTGAAACAATTCATCATTAAACTATCCTCGAAAAAAGCATTGGAATGCAACAAAGAGCATTTTTTCGCCCATGTAATTAGCATCGTGAGGATACAGCTTTACTGTCACCAAGGTCTACGTACAAGAATTGTAATCGCCCGGGTTCTGGAAACAGCCCTTGCAGAACTTGAACGGCTCCCATATTTCCTCTTGATAGATTGTCCTGAAAATTCCAAAAGTAAACTCAAATTGTCAGTATACAGGCAGGAGAGCAGGTTGTGCTAGAGATGAAATACCAGAAGCACACATGACAATTTGCTTGCTTTCATAGCTACATAGGGAGGTGAGTAGCAACCACTATAGTGACTCGATAGCCATCTTTGAGTAATCTTAAAGTGGCATGGGAGCCAATGTAGCCTGCACCGCCAGTCACTAACACGTGGGTCACATCATCTTTGACCGAGAACTGCAGGCACAATCCATTAAATAATCTTAGCAAAAGTGAGCACAAGCATCATGCACATATAGACACAACCAAAATTCATCTACCCTATTGTAAAGGCTCATCCAGCCGAAAGGCGCTATGAAAGTAGATGGTCTTCTAACAACCTTGATTTGTCCTCACGCCGTAGTGCATGTGAGAAGGTTGAAGGTTAAATTCAAAACGAGGCTAGAACAACAGAAGATCATACCTTATCAATAGTTCCAGCAGAATCGTACTGACGAAGGATGAACATGCAAAGCGCAGTTAATGTCGCTGCAAGGAGGACCTTGATCACTAACTGCGAGCGTGGCCGTGAGACTCCATGAACCATCCCTACCGATCGGAAGAGCGCAAGATACCCGTAAGTCAACAAACACACACAAATTCTCCACCAAAAAATTAAAATTAAAAATTAAAATGCCTAAACTGCCGCTTGCATTACATACATCCGTCATCTTGATGACGATACCAATCTCGCAGCACATAACCAAGCTTCCAATCTACGTCCCAATAACTTCCAGATATGATAAAGTGTGAATTGCGGTATATATATATATATATATATATATATATATATATATATATATATATATATATATTTGTCAACAAAGCATTGTCTTTAAAAATATACATAAGATATGAACGCTCCCCAGAAATACAAGCGAAACCGTGCAAACAACTACAGAGGACACCTTCCGTGATCACATACAGGCCATCTCCGGAACTAGAAAAGAAAGTATAAAGAGCATTAATCAGAAACTGTTGCAGCTATAGAGATTGAACGAGATGGCCATTAGGTTAAGATAAAACCACCTGCAAGACTCCATGTTCCCCTGCCCAACCGAGTAGGGGTATTCCCTCCTGTGTTGCTCCGCCTCCGAACAAGGGGAGAACCTGGCATCATACTTGCTGAATTTTCAGGTACCGAGTGCTTCACCCTCTATTGGAAGCAATATATAGACCTCAAACTACATATGCATTTCTTCTCTCGCATAACCTTCTGACAAGGCCAGTACCATTTGTGAATTACGAAGAGACCTACAAGATCGAGACAGCCACACGTGGTCAATTACTGCGGTTCCGCAATGTCGGGGGAGGACAAAGATATAAGAGACACAGCAGCGAGGACCAATACGGGAAAACGAGTTTCAAATACATATGGGCCATTCCTGTGCTCCAACAAGACCTACAAACCATCCCAACTTAGGACTCGAATGATGTAGACTCAGCCGAAACAGTATCGTGACAGGCTTACGATAAGAGAGGCGATTATGCTGAACAGTTAGACAAACATGCACGTGGTAGACCTACTGCATGATCGAAAATCGAAACGTGAGCATCGCCCCAGATTCTAGAAAACACCTTCTACCACGTATATGAAGAGCATTCACACGTGTTTCCAAGCGGCGCTGTCAGCTAAAGACGGCGACACGACTACCTGGATGCTATAAATATAATATTATACTAAAACGTAATTAGAAAAACAATAAACAATGTTTATGAATTATTCAATACCGGCATCTCTTCAGAAATACAATCTCGGCAATCACCCCCGCATTCGAGCTGATTTAAGGTCACACAAAAAAGTCGGCATTCATGCTTCTTCGGCAATAAAGTATTTTGTAGGAGAGAAGGAGAGAAGACCCAGAAGACTTTTTGAGGACCGTTTTCTAGCGACATGTCGAAGTGCATGAATGCGTTCAAAGCAATTCCTACTCCAAATTCGCACCTCAAACCGACAGCCCAGTTAATATACAAAGTGAACACCCATTCAGGCTGGGCCTCGCCGAGCCCACTACAGCACGTCGATGGGAAATAGCACTCGCAAGCTGAAAATCCGCATCCACCCTAAACCCCTCCCTCACGACCAAAATAACTCGCTCTGTAAGCTTGACGGTAGCAGAATGATCCAGACCCAAAGAGTGTGCACAGGAAATATGCGAAATGGCGTGTGACTCAACATGCCTATTCCGGCAAGTAGCACCAGCTCTCTGCTCTAGTTTTACCCAAAACCCGGAGCCAATCACAAAGACAGCGGACCACACACACGCCAAGATAAAGCACAATTCCGAAATCAAAAGAAAACCACCACCACCACAAGACCTCGCAGCAATCGACCCAGAAGACCCCAACACTACAAAATCCGTTGGAAGCAATGCGGAACGGCGACAAACCACACGAAGTTGGGGAGAAATTTGCACTCAAAGCAACAGAGAAATCCTGCGCAGCACAAAACCAGAGAAATTCACCTGCTGCAGGCTGCTACTGCTACTGTAGAGGATGCTGGGAGTACGCAACAGCGGCCGACCCTGAGGTTCACTCACGACGATGACTGCGGTGAGATTCGACATGGAAGGAGAGGAAAAAAATACACAAAAAACAAAAAAACAATCAGAAGCACGACCGCATCACCGCTGACGACAAAATCTCTTTCGCTCTCTGACACTCACTCCCCCACCCCCACCTTCAACTCCGCGGCTCCCCCCCCCCACCGCATCGCTTCCGTCCATACGTCCGTTCGTTCGTACTTCCGTCCGTCAGTGAGTCCGCCTGTCTTCGTTCGTCTCCGTCCTTTTGTTCTCGTTTGTCTTCGTCCTTCTGTCCTCTCGTTCGTTCACGGATCCTTCCGATCCCAACTGGGATTCGTTTCTCGTCGCCCATTCCCATCCACAACCGCGACGGCGACATCGTCCGGTGCTGCAACCTGCAACCGCCGAGCTAATCGTCACATGGATGATATATATATATATATATTTCTCATCCGTCGCGCTCGCACGACGGAACTCCATCCGTTTGTATGGAGGATGTGCACATCCATCTATCCGGGTTGTGGTTTTCGTAGGCTGTGAGTGAGTCCACCTAAAGAATGCTTTTTCAAGTAGAGTGTGTAACGTGTAGCTCAATCCCCATGCAATGAATTTGAGGTACATTGACTTTACCTTAAAGTTTTATTTATTTTTTTTAAAAAGAAAAAGAAAAAAAGTTGAATGATATGGATTTGAAGGACTCTTTTGGACCATGTTGTGAGGGTTTATTCATGAGTGTCTTGAAGGAAGCTAGGAGCACATGCAATGTGTCACATGATATAGTATTGGGTGCCAAATTCCATTGAATGTATGTGCTTTAGTTTGATTAGTGGTTTTTCATCCATTGAAAGTATTTTTTGTTAATTGATTTTGTTCATATCAACTAAGGTTTGAACATTTAAGTGAAGAAAAATCTTTTGACTTGACATTCTTGTCAAGTCAAGTTTTGTGAGTGATTTTAGGAGTGAGAGAACTTGTTGTAAGAGCTTTCTTCACTATAGTGATTTAACCATTTAGTAAGGCTTTAAGGTTTTTTTTTTTATCTTTATACTTATACTCTTAAATTCACCCTTTGTGGAATGATAGATAGCTTGACTCAGTTTGGTGTAGATTTCTATTCTTTCACTTGATAAGAATCTCTCCTTTATTTAATTTTTGATATAGCAAGTTAGAATATAGTAGATTAACAAAAAAAAAAAAAGAAAAAAAAAAAAAAATCTAATTTTTGGATTGTTTTTGCCGCTGGATTTTAGGCACTACTATGCTAGGCGCTAGAACTAGCTAGGTTGTATTATCAAATTATTGCAGTATTAGTACAATAGTATTAGGCACTGGATATGATATTATTGTAGGTACTCTATTGTATGTGATATTTGAATTGTATACTAGATCTGGTGTATATGGATTGGAGTATCATATTACATGAAGTTTGCTAGAGAATGTATTGGACACTTGGCTGTGGAAGAAAAAATGAAACTTATAACAAGATGATCCTAACAACTCTAATAGAATCCTAAAAAAAACTTTAATTAAATTACAACAATGCTAATCAATTTTTAATTAAATCCAAAAGAAGTCTCAAGAACTTATAAAATAAATTTAAAGAAATTTCAAATTAATATTAATAAAATATTTATAATAAAAAATTATAAAGAACTATCAAAATTAGAAATATTAATTGAATTCTAATCAAATCTTAATATAATCTTGAACATATCTCAATGAAACCTTAAATCAATTCCAACCAAATTTTAATAAAATCTTAAATCTTAAACAAATCATAATCAAATATTTAAAAAATCATAATCAAATCTTAAACAAATATTAATTAAATCTTAGAGAAATCCTAATCAAATTCTAAATAAATCCTAATTAAATCCTAAATAAATTCTAAATACTAATCTTTGATCAAATTCCAATGAAATCCTAAATTCTAATAAAATCCTATCAAATTCTAAACAAATGCTAATCAAATACTAAAAAAAATACTAATCAAATCTTATCAAATCATAAACAAATCTTATTCAAATCCTAAAAAAATCCTATTAAAATTTTAAGTAAATTCTAAACCTTAATTCTAGACCAAATCCTAATAAAATCCTAAATCTTAAAAAATCTCAAGAATATCTCGAATAAATTTTAATAAATTATTATAACTATTTGAAACCTTAAAAAATATTAATTGAATCATAGATCTTAACTAAATTTTTATCTAAACTTTAACCAACAAGCAACTAATAAGCACATAAATTTTAAAAAGAATTTGACTTATTAATTGCAAGAAAAGCTTCCAAAATCTCTTGATCGTTGATTGCCTTCCTTCTCCGACTTGAATGTTGTTCTTTTAACATCAATTTTTCTTTGTTGAATTATTGAATTATTCTAAAAATTGAGACATGTATAGATATTTAAGTCTTAATTGCTTTCACCAAATTTTACTTTAATCCAACTAACAAATATAGCTAGATCTTGGAATCACTCACTAACCTTAAATCTCAAATTTTCAAGATCATAACCTTTAAAAACCCTCATGTATTTCAATCTAATTGCTTGATTGATTTCAAATTTTTTACAGACATTTACAATAATAAATTGTCCATTTTTAATTTGTACATATATTACAAAACTAACAAAATCTTAAAATTTGTAAACTTATTTTTATTTCTCAAAATCTAAATCCATTGAGTATATCATTAACTTTAAAAATTCTTCAAAATTTCAATATTAATTCAAGTGACATGAAACTAATACTCAAGAAACTTTTTTTAAGTTTATTCTGAAATTTGATTGTTGGATTTACAAAAGAATCCTAAAGTTGCCATAGGGCACTTGATTTTATGCCTAGGAGTTTGATTTTAATCTTGATTGGCAACTGGTCTTCTTGAGATACCAATTCTTATCTTTTTGAGGTAATTTTTGCTAAAATAAATTTTTAATTCCTTCTTACATATGCTTATATCATTTTTTTTTCTAATCTATCTTATTTTTTCTTATTTAATACTTTATTAAGTAAATAGAACTTATTTTTATAAAAAGCTAAGATGTAGAGGTGTAGTGACGATTTATTGGCTTGGCTTATAAGGTGGTATTGGAGGATCTTAGCAAAAAGCTTAGCTATGGCAATAAAGGTGATAGAATATAGATTGCAAGAGTTATAGAATATATGAAGGTTTTAATATTAAGTGGTGTAATGCACTATTACATATCAAATTATATGAGACTTAAATTAGATCAATAGTAGTGAGTGGCAGCTAACAATAATTAATGATGTTTTTTTGTAGCTCGAGGTGTCAATCCATGGTCTTAGATGAATCTTGGTGATAAGAACTTATAGTGGTTGGATTGCACAATTACAAAATCCCATAGTATAGATTACACAATTATAGGATATTTTTGGAATTATAGAACTATATAACAAGATATTATGATGAAAAGGTTCATTGCAATATTAAGACCATGGTTTATAGGGTTTTGCAATCACACATTGTCTAAAATTATTAAGTGTCAAATTTGGAAGCTCATTTTAAGTACATGTGGAGTCCAAATTTATTTATTTTTTAGTTAATTTTATATAAAAGGGACTCAATGAATCTATTAATGAACTCAAATTTTGAAGTGGAAGACTTTTAAAGCATTAAAGTGGCATTTATTAAATATTGATTGCTTTCTAAGTATTTTTTTTTATTTATTTATTTTCTTTCACTTCTCTACATTAAATTTTATTGCAATTATCTTTTATTGTCACATATTTATCAATTACAAGTAGGTATTGATTGCTTTGATTTACTTTTGATTTTTGCTTATGTGTTGTTGGAGATGAAAAGTTAGTATAGATTTTTGGATTTTTTCTTTGGTACCTTTTTATAATTGTAGGTATTATTTTCAAAAGTTTTTCATAATTATCTCATTTTATACTTGTATTAGTTTGTATTGATAAGTGTACTATATAAATAAAGTCGGGTTGATGGCTGATAAGATCTTTTTATTCATAGATATATTGGACATGTAGTAATCTAGAGGTGATTGCTAGTGAATTATAAAGCTTGGTAGTGTTTGCAAGAGTAAGTTTTTATTTTAGCTTTTAGATAGTTGCAGGCATCTAAGTAGTCCTTTTTATGGTGCATACTAGTAGTCGATATTATTGATCTCCTTTACCAAAGTACTTAGATAGTGACCACATTAAG